ATAGTCGACTCCGATCGTGTTCATTCGGTGATAACGAAAACGGCATGAATGCTGAGGCCACGCTGCGAGCGCATCGTCGAGTCGCGTCCGGCGCGATGCACCGAGGAAACTCCACAACGCCCAGAGCACAAATTCAGACGAAATCGCTCCACAGCGAAAATGAGGGCGAATGAACCCCACGCAATGCAGAAAGCGTCGGTGGAATCCCTTGGCGCGATCGGCACTTGACGGGTTGCGCGCCTCACCGGTCGACCGATGGCGATGCCCTTGTTCCCCGCTGCTTGTGTCACCGGGTACGAGTAACGCATTTACCCCATCCCAAAGTTCAATCCATCCAATACTTTTCGCGCGAGACTGCAATTCATCAGTCGATGGGTCACCCTGTAGATTAAATCCGCAATAAAATGGACGTTGACATTGAATTTCTGACCATAGAATGCAGTTTGAACATCCAGCATGCTGGACACTCCATGCAGTTCACAGCAGTCAACAGAGCAGCACGCTGCATCTGCTGTAATGCTTGTTCTACTGCATCCTAAAAAAAAAAAAATTGGAACGGTTTATATTCAATATGCTGCACAGCGCGAATATTTGGCCGGACGACATCCAGCACCCAGCTGTTGCATTCTGCAATGTATCAAAAAAGATGGTGTATCATTTTTCTCGGTACCAGAATTGCAGACGTGCCACGCAGCACGAATACGAACTCGGCCTTAGCGTATTCATGCTGCATGCCGTCTGAATGCCGAAGAAAACCAGACTGTGTGGAATTTTCTTCCACGCTTGTCCCCATCCTCTTCGATGCCAAATATACTTCCTTTCTTGCCAAGCATATTCCAAGATGGCGGTGCGGCTGTGCAGGACTGCAGTAATTGCTCAGGATTATCTCGGAATGACGGACCGTAACGATCGGCGAAGGACATGTACAAAGCCGTGAAGGACATTGAGTTATCGACGAGATCGGATCTCTTTGAAGTGATGTCCTAATCGATGAGTGTGAAAATAAATTCCTTTGAAGTGAAGCCGTGAAAAATGCCCGATTCCACGCAATAGCAGCAACATCGTTGTTCGTCGCCTCCACTCGAACACGCGAGCGTCTATTAACAGGATTGATGGCTTCCCAGCTGGATTCCTGGCTCGCCATATATACTCTACTCTTCCCCTCTTCCTTTTGCTATAATTTATTTTTTTCTTCCTTCTCGTCCGCGTCTCATAAACTCGGCTCATCAGTATAATGAACAGATCATCTGCGTGGCTCCGGCGACGTGTCCCAAGCCCGAAAGACTGTCTGGATTTCCTGATTGTCCAAGTCGAATGGGTAGAGCGAGTCTGCATTCTGAAAATAGTCGTTTGTAGATATGCATGGAGATTATTATTATTGATTATTCCAGGGAGATTCCATCTCTTTCTGAATCTATCAAATCGAATTAGCTTCACCTGGAGAAACAAGAAACGGCACTGCCGTAAAAAAAAAAAAAAAAGCACTTTGTCCGTGGAAAACCCTCGACGGCCCCTATTAAATCTTTTGGAAACCCTCATTCGGCGTATTTGGAGAGAGTGGAAGGAAAAATGGATGAGGATGAGAGGCATCATTTATCGAAGAAGAGGCGAAGCGTGAACCGATCTGCATCATCCTTCTTTCCTGCATCTGGCAATCATATTTCTTGCCTCAGCCAATCTGGGTATGGGTAATAAAATTTATATGAGCAAAAAGTTGGTGTAGCCCTCGAATTCCCCTCGTGACGTTCTGATGCGCCTTGAATGAGATCCGACGGAGGGGGACACCCCGGCTCGATGAGATCAATGGGCTTATTGACACTGGATATTGATGGAAGATGGATAAATACATTTATTTGGAGCCTTAGGTCTCCATTCTGGTGTCTCATCTCCGACCTTTGACGTCACGCTCCAGATTGACGATGCCATTCATTCTTTCATCTGCTCTCCGTGACGTTGCAGCTGACCCTGTGATTAGCTTCCAGTAGAGACAGTTGCATTTCTCATTGCTTAATGGTTCAGCTGCAACGAGAAAATATGGGGGCTGTGCAGGAGCAAATTAACTTCCAGGCCCCAGCAGTAGCATCAGCGATGGAGCTATAAAAGAAGTAGAAAGAAACGCTAATTACAGGGGTACTTAAGGGGGCCAGACGCATGAACTTCCCCATCTCCTATCCTTTTTACCAACTCCACAATCTGGGACTGGGCACCCATTTTCCCAGGATTTATGGATGGCTATTCTCTCCCCTTTCCCTCTCTTTTCATTCATATACGTACGTTTAAATAAATAAGTAAAAAATACTTAAATAAGACCATCCCGGTCGTGGACCTGGTCCGAGGTCATTCCAGTGGCCTTAAGCAATTAACAGGAGTTCGATTGAGTGCTTCCTCTTAGTTTCAAAATGTGATTCAGTGTATCCTTAAAGTTCTGGAATCGGATGAGCCTTGTTCCACACGCCTGGCTCCATTGGTAGGCGACTGGAAATTCATTTCCGATGGTGTTTAAATACAAACACGCTGTACATAAGGTGGTCGTAAGGTTTCGACGCGCCTGCAGTGGGTTGTTTCCTACTCAGAAAAAAAGGAGTTGAGCAATCTTGATGAAATTTTGTACACAAGCTCGTTATAGTGTACCATGATTTCACAACGTATTGGAATGTTTGATCTATATTGGGTAATTGGGATGCTTATCATGCATCATGTATCATGTTGATGCATGCAGCATGCATCAGCCTGATCCATGAAGCTGATGCACGCATCCCAATTACCCAACATAAATGAAGCATTCAACAGAACTTGAACCCAAGGCGACCAGAGATCCCTCGCCGCCCTCCCCATTTCTCGGGTATTTTGGCAAGTTTTCTCTGCATCGCCTCATCTCGCGATTTCGAAACTTTGCTCTATTTTTCTGCACGTCTTTAGATATTTTTCTGGCACCTTTCATCGATAGAATCTTCTTGGCGACTGTTTCGGGGGATTTGTATGACCCCATAGCCGCTATTGAAATTGGATTTTTTGGCAAGCTTTCTCAGCGAATATTTTTCCCATACCCTTTAAACTCTAATCGATTTCATTGTATGCTCTTACGAACTTGTGTATCAAATTTCATCAGGATCGCTCAACCCCTTCTCGGTCGCGTTTTTTTTTTAATCAAGTCCCTATCATGTAGCCCTATAGATGATCTTTGGTAACCAATTGCTTATAAATAATTATATTAAAGGGGCCCGCAAAGCTCGTTCACATTACCTGGCGCTCACTCACGGAGAACCGATGGTAAGTGCGATTAGACGATGAGATTGCACCAATCTCATCGTATTTTTTAGATCTTAGTGACGTACACTAACCTAGAGTCAATCATACAGGCTAAGCTGTTTCGGGAATGGTCTCACCGAGGTTTTTCAGAACTCGTGCCGCCAAATCAACCGGTGTTCCTGTTGACTTTCCGTAAGTACGTCATCGATTTCTCATCGGCTATCCGTAAAAAAGTCTGACCTCTTGGAACTCCTTGCGTCGGTGCGCCGCAGCTGCGGCGTTACTTCGACGTAGAATTCGTTCCATTCTTTTCTATGGCCGCGTTCGGACTGGCCTGCGCCGCACCTTCGCCGAAGGAGTCCAATGTGAACGGACCTTCAGTTTTAAGGAGTGAAAAAGTCTTAGGACGTTTGTAACACATGTGTAAGTGAAGCATCACTTCATGTGCCTTTGCCTTTCATGTGCCTTTGCCTTTCAAGGCCTGTGCCTTTCATGCGTGTTATAAGACAAGGCGCATTAGAAGTAACAGATCGGAAGAGGGGGGAAGGGGTGGTAGTAGTAGAGGCAAGCTCGAAACAACGAAAGAACGGAAAGGAAAAACAAGGGAAGGGGGAAAGGGTTGATAGGGAGGGCTTAACCCCCTCGGTTCCCCCCCCCCCCCATCCCCATTCCCACCCTCCCTTTCCCCCGCCCATTCTTCTGTGAGTGACATGAATTCCTATGCGATTGAAGAACGGCTGATTACAGCGGTGTCGGTCCGAAGGACAGTCTCCATGTATAGGTCACTTGTTGGTCCATTAAGGAGCTGTTTCCAATGAACTGTGAACTGCTCGTTCATGGACTCACGCCACTGTAATCTCTCATCTCTAATCGAGAAAGAGTAAGTGCAACAGAGATAGGAACTTCACGAAGACCCGTCGCCCACCTCGAGACATAACAAGGCCGCACGAGCTTTCTCGGCTCGTCATATTTCTCCCGAGAACAAATTTTCATGCATAGGAGCGTGATCGTCCTGGGTGCTCCCTTCGATCCGAATATTGAATAATCTAAGCCTCCGTAATGAAACCGGGACCAAATGAATTATTTCTTACTCGGGGTGTACCAACATAACTTGGTGTCACGTTTATCGAACGCGTGCTCGCTGTAGGATCACAGATTCTGTCCGTGTCATTGCATGCGAACAAGCGTACAAATTTCTTTTATTTCTTTCATTCCTTCCGTTAATCTAATAAAATCCTCTCAGCATTCCGCACAGTTGCGATCGATGGAACTAGCGGGTCCGTTGAGTCAGAATCGGACAGAACCCAGACGACAAAATGATTTTCGCTGGCTTCAATGCATACCGAATCCCAGTCGTGCATAGGAAGCCTTGCGAATGAGGCTTTTCATCGCAAAAGGTACTGCCGTCTTCGCCGGGATTCAGAGCATGTCCAACCCCCAGTATCTATCGGCTGGAGATCCCTCTCGTGTCTTCGCTCCTGTCCCGGTCTCGGCCGTAAGTGTCATTACGTGATCGCGGGGAGGAGACTGCCATTAATCAACGCTCAGTCTCGGATGAAGGGTTCTCTTCTCTCTAGTATGAAATAATCCCGAGATTGAATATTCTGTGATCGATGGGAACCCTGAATAAGTCACCACTCGTTGAAGGGATCCTTGCATCCTTGGATTCCCTCGTTACCTCAATGCTCGCATCTTTGTGGTCTCCGTCACGCAGTCATTCGATTGCTTTATTTATTCCGTTTCTCCTGCAGGATACGGAGCGACGACACCTCAAAGCAACGTGGGGAAAGTGGCCGTCATGTTCTACGGATTCCTGGGCTGTTCCGGAGGGATCTTGTTCTTTAATCTCTTCCTGGAACGAATCATCACTTTCCTCGCATTTCTTCTCCGCACTTACCACGTACGAGAGTTGCGGAAATTCAGAAGCCGTCGAGTCTCGGTCTCGTTCAGCAATAATCCGGGGTCGGGAGACAAAAGACGAGCGTCTCAGGACTCGGTCTTGGAGACGGAAGACAGTCTGGAGAACTGGAAACCCAGTGTCTATTGGGTGATGGTGTGTCTGTTGGGGATCGCCCTCGTGATTGCCACTGGGGTTTCCGCCATGTATTCTCCGTTGGAGGGGTGGACATACCTGGAATCCATCTATTTCTGCTTTGTCACCTTTGCCACGATCGGATTCGGGGATTTCGTGTCGGCTCAAAAGCCGGAATACCCTAACGAGGCCTTCTATCATATGGGCAACTTCCTGTGCCTCACGTTCGGCTGCTGCTGTATCTATTCCCTCTTCAATGTGATATCGATCGTCATCAAACAGTTCCTCAACTGGCTCATCAAGAAGCTGGACCTTCAGTGCAAGTTTCACAAGGGGAAAAAGTCCAGCCCGAGCCATTTGGGAAGGCGATTCCCGAAGCCGAAAATTTCGAAGAAAACCACGGAGCAAGACGTGGATTCCGTCTACGATTCCGGGAGTGAAGAGGGCTCGGATGAAATGATCTCGACTCACGTGAAGAGCAACAAGTTTTCGTTGGCCGTCCTCCAGAAACAGTTGTACGAGACTGCCCATCATCACCATCACCACCACCATCACCACCACACGGTGGTCGTGTCGCAGCCGCGGACTCCGACCGGGAGTTTCACGCCCGGCACCGTCGGACCGCTCGCCATCGTCACGCAGAAGTTGGAGGGAGATAGTGTTTAAATTCCTCTTACTTTTTCCCCCCAATTGTGAATAGCCTCAAAATCCGCTTTGTTTTTTGGAAGAGATAATCTCCGCATCGCATGCTCGATTTTGAGGAAACTCTGCGGTTATCCCTCTTCTTCCAAGATAAAAGGGAGAATGATCGTTCTACCTTGAGTAAAGAAAAATAAATGGTGCTGGCGAAAGAATGCTTTTTTCCGATTCGTATTCATGTTTCGCATTTGACAAAGACTTATATTGCTGCTCAAAATATAATTTCAGAAATCTAGAATTGATTGTTGAACGTCTGTTGAATCACCCGATTCGGTGTCTGAATCTCGTTTCTATTTTTGTTGTACGACTTTGGAAGACCCTGAATTTTCCGATAAAAGATTGAATTGCGGAAATTCCCCAGCCCAAACGATCCCGCTGACGACTCGTACAATAAACAGTATTTTCTAGGAAACCGAATAAAGACTCCAGTTTATTCTCCGTACCACTTGGGTTCACCTCATCAACGAAGTGGCGAGGGGAACTCGTCCCCGACCGCGAGGGACCACGTCCCCCGCGGGGAAACGAGGCACAACGCCTCCACTTGGAGCCCCCGCATCGATCGATACGCTTGGGACATCTCTTCCTCCACGTCGTCCAAGGTCTGCTTCGCTTTCTCCAGATCCTCCAGCAGTTTTCGATAGAAGTCTTCGTCTGTAGTTGCTGACTTCTTCTCCATTTCCTGGAAAACGAGAATACGGCTGGTTGGTACAAGTCTGACCCCGACCTTCGTATCATGTGATTTTCATCTTTCGAATAGGTATATCCAGGGGGGGGGGGGTCGGATCTTAGATCTGCTAGATAGATAGATGCTTAGATAGGGGCTCTTAGATCTGCGCAGAAACGCGTTTTGGGGGGTGGAACACCTCGCACTTTCGGGTATGCTGTGCAAGTAGACAGGGTGGCGAAGCGCGCCTGTGGCACGGGAACCCGTGCAAGAGCATGACATCGCGAAATCCGAAACTTGTGGAAATGCCCTATACACTGAAAATCTCTTTCTTTTTGGAATGGGTTTTGTGAATTCGATGTCCAGCCATCACTCATTGGATCATATTCAATATGTGTCATGAAAATTCCTTTTCAGGTCAACATCATTCTCAACTTTTTCGCTTTTCGTTCCTCACGATCCCGGTTCACTCTCATTGTATTTACCCTGTTCAGGTGTCTGAGTCTTACGAGAGTACTAGTATGTATGAAGGTCCTGATAGCCAATGGATGGATATTTGGGTATTTGTTCCGAAGAGATTCAGACAGACCTTTTATAACATTTTCGTTAGCAAAAGAAGTTCCGAGATCCAGGACCTTCCCATGAAGCTTGAAAGCAATTAAACTAGCTACATTATGGAATCCTTCTCCATGTTCACAGTGGTGGCTACCTCATCGTTTGGCGTATCAGATATAAGTCCGCCATCTTCTGTGAAATCATCTACACGCTCTCATCCTTTTGAAGAATGGCCTGGTCGGACTGAAATGAAGACTGATCCGATGATTCTTTGTCTACATCGTCCTCTAAATCGTCTTCTGTTGCGATGATTTTACGCCATTGTTTTCATTCGCAAGAGATGAGGAGACCTGCTGGTCCTCCGTGTGTTGAAATGGACCGTCTAAGGTGAATTTGGGAGAAGGCGTTGGTTCAAAAACCAAATTCTCTGTTGGAACAGCATCTTTTTTCAAGCGCCTAATAGCATTTCCACCATAATATGAATCTGAGGAGAAATGATGCGAGCACAAGAAAGCATATCTAATTTTCTGTATGTCGATTCCTATGCAAACCTTGCCACTGCCCGTCATAACTAACAAATGGTATGAAGAGAATGAATGTAAGAACCGAAGAATATGAACGAAATCAACGAATAGATGAGCTAAAGCGTCCGCTTTTATACTGGAACGTTTCGCTGACGTCATCACATGCGCAAGATTTTACCCCCCTCTCTCCGACCCCTCTTGGGGCATATCAGTCTCGGTTTTAGTGTCTGCGTTGAATCTTAAAGAATAATGGGAATCCTTTGTCATTCGAGTATGAACATGAATACATGAAGCTGATAAATGAACGGACACGCCCTCCAAGACAATTCGAATGAAAAGCGACAGTTAAAAATTTCTACTGAGACGGTCATATATCTCATTGTGGCTGTCAGCATTGCGTACGAGCTGGGATTATTTCTTGAATAATTTTTTACTGGAAAGTATTTCTTTATCGGGAAGGCTTTGTACGGTGGCGTGTAATCTGAAGAAAGGAAGAAATAGAGGAGGAAAAGGAAATTGATTTCCGCTTTTCCCTTGGGTGACACGTGCCAAGCTGGTCAAACGGGAAAATAATCTGGTTTCATAAATGAGGCCCATATGGGGTCCTGTGAGTCTAGGTTAATCTCATTCCACAAGAGTTCAGCTTAGGGTAGTTGAAATTTGGTCCTTGTTCCACGATTGGCTGCAGGATGAGAATTTCTTGGGGGGGGGGGGGGGGATGGCAAAGAGAAGTCAGATCTGGTTGGCCCTAAATTCGTTCTCATCGCCGAGAAAAAGAACTGGAGATAAGACTCCTCGCATTTGTTGTCTCGTTTCTTTCTTTTTTCTCTTGTGCCTTGTATGGACATTAATTCCTTAAGAGAGAATCGCAGAGAGAAGTCATTTCTGAATGAAGTTCTTTCAGTGTTGAAAGGAAAAAAAATCTGCTCGCCCCTCGTTGTCTGGTTTTCTTTTTTCTTTCTCCAGCCCTCTCTCTCTCTCTCTCTCTCTCTCATGTGAAGATAAATTCCTCACGGAGTTAATGGACGCTTTCTCCACATCCCAGAGCGAAAGGAAGATTTTATATTTCATTTTGGGGGCTACAATCGGTTGGAATTGGATTATTGATAACGTAAAGGGTAACCGAGAACAGAAAATTAATTATATTTCGCAATTTAGCCATCGATTAACTTCTTCAGAAGAACTTCTTGCTTCTTGGGATTCTTGAGAACGGAACTAATTCGCAAAGTCCTGAAAAGCAGCAACACTTAGAAAATGGCGAGACTTCTGAGCCAAATTCAACATGCACGATTGTCTTATTTGTCTCATTAGGCCATGTCTTTTCGGGGGACTCTCGCGTACTGAGCTCCTGACTAATGACATGCAAAAGTCATCATTGAGAAGCAATTCCTACTCGAACCTCATTTTTTTAATCGCTGTACACAATCAAGGAAAAAATCTATCTCCATGCCATTCGCTTTGAAGCCTGACTCGAGGCAGGCCTGTCAAGTTTATAATATAATGGCAATCTGGACCCTTATTCATGAACAATACCACAGTTATACACAATCACACCACAACCTATTAATAAGGTATTTTGGAATATACCTAAAGAGAACCAAATCGTTGACAGAAGGAAGGGGTTATCAATAAGTGTGAGCACTTTCATGACCGAATCTCATAGACTCATTCCAATGTTTCCCTTTTTTCTCTTGAATTTCATGTTGCTGACCACCCATCTCATGGTGCCCCAACACCATTTCAATAAGGATGGGGTTAGTGAAAGCTGAAATTCAATATTGACGTTTAAAATTTGACATTGAAAATTGAAGAAAAGATTCTTACTACTCTAGGCATTTGTTCCTAATTCCTGGGAGAGACCATCAGCGCCTACATTTTACTTCTGATTTCTTGAGGCATTGGGGTACACAGGATTTTAAGAAAGGGGGGCGGGGGGAAGCTCTAATTTCGAGCCCCGTGAGGCCCTCTCTGCGAACGTCTCTCCCTCATGGCAAAAATAGGATTAGGCCTGAAAGCCATGGGAGGGAGAGTACAGTTTTCAGTTCTTTGAAGAAATTAGATTTAATGAAGACTCACTTCATGTGACGATCACTTAGAGAACAAGAGAGGTTCCCGCGGGAATAGCCTCTCAGAAAGGGTTGGATAAGTTACTTTTCAAAAGTAACTAGTTACAGTGGGAAGTTAGTGCATAAAACTGTAACTAACTGCAGTGGAGTTCACCCGTCGTGCGAGCTGATCGCAACCCAAACGCGCTCTGACCCCCTCATTCGAGTATTCGTCCGTCGTCCTCGACAGCCGAGGTGACGATATGAGGGAAAACGAGCATGCCATCCTTCATGGTCGAGGCAGGCATGCAGAGAACGTGTTCCTGACGGTAGATCGCCTTCTTAGCCCAGACAGCATGACCGTGTCTTGGGGAATGGAGGGAAGAGGTGAGACCGGGTGAGGCAGTCGTCTCTTCATTTAGATCCAAGTACGAGGCCTTAAAACGTAGCAATAGGAGGGGGGGAGAGGGAGGAATTAAACCTTTGTTATTCACATTGTTCTTTGCCGCAGAACTTTTTGCCAGGTTGAGAGCGTGAATGTTGTTACACCTCGGCTCATTGATAGAATAACAATAGAGGGGAAATCTTAAAAAAAAAATTCAGTTGTGGAATTCTGAGATAAATAATGGTTTCCCGCATCCGCAGTCCCTTGTCAATTGAGCCTAGGAGATCGAATGGTTTAACCTGTATCGGACCACCGGCCCAAACAACGGGCGGCAAAGATAAGTGCAATGGGACGAACGAACAATATCATGTATGCTGCTCCACAACAATCGGTATACCGGCCTAACCGCATTCGAAAAAGAGTCCAGACTAAGACTTCTGTTATCTCTTCCTTCATTCGTTCAGGAACAGCATTCAATTGAAAAAGTCATTCTATAGGTCGCTGAGGGATAAAAACTAGGGCTTTCAATTCGATTAGATTAATAGATTAAAGTATTAATCGCGATTTAAAAATTAGTCGAAATTAATTAATTTTAATCGACCTCCGATCCTCCTCTGAATGCATCTTTTTCCCCTTATAATTTGACTGTGCATTTCATAGTTTTGCAAAGCAACCGAAAAGAATGCTTTATCAAGGGAATGAAATGTAACGATAGCTCATAAAAGGTAGTCGTTTTCATACTGCTCACTCTTCCTCAAAAAGTACTTACTGTTTTTGGAAAAAACGGAACACGC